GGCCTGGTTGATGAATCCTGACGGAGCTGTTTATTTTTGGGGTGTGTGTGTGTGTGTGTGTGTGTGTCTGCATTTTTTTGGAGGTTATTGTTTCTGCCAGGTGGGTTCCTCTCAGAGTCTGTCCCCCCGGAGTCACGCACACACACACACACACACACACACACACACACACACGCATGTAGGGTAAACATATCCTTATGGGGACCGCTCATTCATTTCAATGGGAAAAAAGCTAACGCTAACTATGACAACCTTAACCCCTACCCTGCCCTAACCATAACCATAAGTAACCTTTTTAGTTTTTTCATAGCAGTCACCGATTTTTATAAAATAGAGTTTTCCCTTATGGGGACCAGGAAACGGGTATTTATCACATTATGGGGACATTGTGTCCCCATAAGGATAGGTAAACCCGCTCGCACGCGCACGCACACACGCACACACACACACGCACGCACGCACGCACGCACGCACAAACGCACACGCAAACACACACACACATACACACGCACACAAACGCGCACGCACACACACGCACGCACGTGCGCGTGACGGCCCATCTGACTCTGAGGTCACAGGGGGTAATCGTATCTGATCCCAGATCCAGCTGCCTTTTTCCTTTCCGAGGAGACGTGCGCCTCCCTGCCCCTGAGCTCCGACTCCCTCTCTCCTGGCTTCAGATCACTGCTCCTCCTTCATCTCGTCTTCGGGAAGCATCTGCTCTGGTTAACCTCTTTGTAAATAGTGCCGTCTCCCTTTGTTGAGGCTTTTTTAAAGCAAACATACAAACCGTAGGGATAGCAAAGCATTTCTTCCTAGTCGTGTATATATGTGTTTATCACAAATAATCCTACACGTCATGTATTTATACCGGATGTGTCCTGAAATATTTTATATAGACTTGGAGTTTGTCCTGAGGCTAATATAAGCTCATGGAAGTTTTACGTACACAAAAATGTTCTGCAGACAGAAGGAAAACCAATCAGATTGCAACTAGAGGAGGTGGGACTAAGACACCTGATTGGTTGCTCCTACCTCCTCTAGTTGCTTGAGCCTACCTCCTCTCCAGTCTGATTGGTTAGCTCCCTGATCCAGTCATTTTTCCTTCTGCCCTCAGAACATTTTTGTGTACGTAAAACTCCCATGAGCTAGATTTAACCTGTATGTCTGTGGATGCCCTTATCTGTTCTTTTTTGGGCAGCACAGTGTTTTGCAGGATCGCACCGTGACATCACCCCCCAGGAATGCGACAGTCTCTGTCCATCGATCTCTGTGTTGAGTTTATAAGTTATGGTCACAGTCATGCTGGTTTTCATTTGGATATTTTGGGTTGGGTTTGGTGGACTGGTGTCAGTGCTCTGCAGTGGCCCAACATCCCAGGTGTCCCTGCGCTGGTACCCAGGGCTTCCTGCCATTGGCTGAGTCTCCCCATGACCCCACGCTGGATATGCAGGCATAAAGCGTTTGTACTGATGATTCTCAGGTCCCACGCTGCATAAAGCAAGCGAGATGAAGGAAACTGACAGCAGAATTACTACCTTGACAGTCTGTAAGCAGTGAAGGCTTCATTTCATTTAATCATCCGTTTGACAGGTTTATTTTGTATTCTACATTTTTCGTGAGCATTCCGTGTTTTAATGCGAGGGATGATAGTCAGACGTTTTCTTTCGTTTTCCAGGTTAGTGCCTAGTTGCATCATTGCATCAGCAGTGTGAAATCCGTTGCTGTCTTGCAGCAAGTTAAGGGTTCCCTGCCTGTCAGCGACCATTAAAACACGACCTTGTCACGAATAACCGCTTCAGTGTTGGGGTGGCTGAGGCTGGGATCAGGGTCTCACAGGTCCCATGCAGGGGGGGGCAGCAGCTTGGGTTAACCCCACCTGACCGCCCCCCCAGGAAGCTACCGGAGTTTCTCAGAAATATGTATGTGTGCAAAAACAGAGAAAATGCTCTCTGCAAGTATTCGTAACGTATCTGTCGCCAAATATACTTCAGTGCCTTCCTTCCCAAGGCCGACGGCCGTCAGTTCTCCGGGACGCTTCAGGGTGACGTACGGAATTACGATGGGCGTTTTCTTAGTTTGAACCCCAGTGTTGTAAAGGAAGTAGGAAGGGAGAGAGCACACGCACAGCGACCTGACATTAGAGCGAAGGATTATGGTCCGTATGGAGGGAATCTGGAGGCTGAAGGGAAGAGGAAGGCTTTAATTGCATTATTCGTGGCCATGGATTCATGAACGTCCGGCAGGTCTCCGATATCCCCCCCGCCACCGCACCGTAATTACCGCCGCGCTATCGGATGACAGGGCGGTGAACAGTCCCATGTGTCCCAGCCAGCCCTGATCACGTTATCCGCTCACATGGCCTATCTGCACGCTGGAGCTTTCCCCGGCGTAACCCCACACCCCCACGCATAGGGGTGGGGGCTCATTCGCTGTTCGGCCCAGATGGTAGCGTGATGGCAGGGAGGGGTCGCCACAGCAGGGTCGGCTTCCTGTCGGGAGCGGGTTGGGGGGGGGGGTTCTGTGACGTGCAATGGTGCTAAGTGATTTTATGGGGAGATGTAGCTTCTCTGCACACGGTCTCTGGTGTAAATACTTAATGAGCTGAGGAGCAGCGCTGAGCTGAGGAGCAGCGCTGAGCTGAGGAGCTCCGCTGAGCTGAGGAGCTCCGCTGAGCTGAGGAGCTCCGCTGAGCTGAGGAGCAGCGCTGAGCTGAGGAGCTCCGCACTCCCTGACTGGGGTCCCCCTCTGAGCCCAGGAGCTCTTTTCCATTTTGTTTTTTGGGTTTTTTTTTAGGATGGCCTAGAGAGGATTTCGGGGCACTAATAAAAAGGGCCAAACTCATGCAAATCACATGCCTGCCCACCCACATGGGGGGGTCCGTCCCAAGGATGGCACACGGACCGACATGAGTGACATCATGAGGGAATGCTGCGGCTCGCGGTTCAGCGGGACCCTCGCGAGGAGGGGGAGGGGGCCGGGGGCCGTAGACACGCTTGCATTATTCTCTGAGGGTTGTGCTCCCTCCTGTAGAAACGCCCCCCTCTCCTGCTACATGTGGGTGGGGGTAGTGCCTTGTTTCCCATCGCTTACAGTTCCTTTCCACGATAAGGGCCCCCCCTGACTTATCTCTGCTGAGAGTCTTACAGGCTCCCCTCCCCCTTATCACATTTAAGAAAATACTCCCGGCTGTGCCAACTTCATGACGACCGAGCTCGGAAATCTGAGTCGGATAGGATCTCAAAGAGCCGCGCGTCCCCCCCATTTTGGGGGGACGCTATCGCATCATTTTTTTGTCTCTCATCTAGGCTGTATTTCGAACTCCGAAGCCTAAACGAGCCCTTATCAAGGCGAAGCGGGTTTGCGACCCGGACTGTGAGATTTTGTTACATTAGTAATTATCTGTTGTTTACATTGTTACTAGGAACGATAACTGTACCGCTTGGATTCAGAGTAGGTGTTGAAATATTCTTTGGTGAGCCATGCTATATATTCATCCACCAAAATGCTGCCGGTTCGAAAGCTGGCTCCCATTCGCCCGATGACATAATTCTTGGCCCACACTAGATGTGGGCTTCTTCACTTAAGGGAAAAGGTGAATTCTTGAAGCAAAATCTCATCTTAGAAAGCGATACCATCACAGAAAGATTAAGTAATCAAAACGTGATTTAAAACAAAGACAGTTTATGTTTCTAACAATAGCCCATTTGATTCCTGGAAACTTCTGAAATCCAGGTTATGGTCTTGTCTGGACAAAATAAATCTGCAATTTCTACTGTAAATTTATGGCTGATTACTTTTCTGCACTTTTATTTTCCAAACACTCAGGACGTCTACAGAA